GAAGAAGCGCTTGAAGAAGGAGAAGAAACGACTGGCTGCCCTTGCACTTGAGGCTTCAGAAAACAATGGCACTCTTGAAGATCAGGAATGTGAGGTCAGTGGGCAGGCGGCCATCGAGGTCGCGGCATTGTCAGCAGCAGAGCAAAGGGTCTTAAGCTCAGGCTTTAGGTTTATAATGTTGACTTGGCCCATCTAAATCCACATCCTTAATCCTGTAGGAAAGAGATACAGGACAGGGGTCCTCCCCAAGGGAGGGTGTAAAAGTCCTGCTGGAGATAGGGTCGCCTTTATGAGACCGATCTGTGGGCATGGCAGAAGGTTCTGTTCCAATTTATGTGCTTTACTGTGATTAAAGATTAAATAGGTTCATGGTGGTTCCCTTTTGGCTCAATTCCTAGTCATACATACATACCTTTGCCATTTCAGTGTTCAAACAATGGCAATACTGTATCCATTTCTCCTCAGGAAACCGAAGAAAAACCCAAAAAGAAGAAAAAGAAAAAGCCCCAGGAGGCTCCACAGGAGAACGGAATGGAAGATCAGTCCAGCTCTGCTCTCCCTAAACCCAAGAAAAAGAAATCTCTGTCCAAGGAACTGGTCAACAGTGACTTTGAAGAGCCTGTTGAGCCAACTGTAAATGCAAAAGTCCCAAAGAGGAAGAAATCTTCCTCCAGAGAGGAACCAGAAGACCCTGAAGAGGTTGCAAACAGCGTCCCAAAGAAAAAGAAGAAGCTTTCTAAGGAGGAGCCCGTCAGCAGTGGACCTGAGGAGGCCGTTGACAAGAGCACTAAGAAAAAGAAAAAAATCAAAAAAGCACCCCAGGAAGATTAACATGGACATTCCCTGGGGATGTGAAGGGCATACCCAAATGTTGCCCAATAAAAAACTGTTTACAAAAGTTGGTAAATAAATATGCTTTTATTAACCAGCTTACATGGGTGCAGGCAGGACCTATGGGTGGGGCAAGGCAGCAATGACAGCCTCAGTGAAGTCGTGGCAGGTGGCATAACCACCCATGTCAGAGGTTCGAACCTGTGGGGAGAACTGTAGTCATGTCTGGGGCTTGGTCCATCCCTGACAATCCCACCTCCCACCATCCTTACTTAGGGAGGTAAGACTCTGGACAACCTAGTCTGCCCAGAAGGGTGGTTTATGGTCCGCTGTCTATAAAGTTCTGGTCCAATGTACTGAAGGGGCGTGTAGGTGGAAGTGTCCTTGTGAGGTTGGGAGGAATAAAGGGTTCTAGCCCCCATGGGGGTGCAGGTGGCCGATGACAGACTTGATGAAGTCAGATGTGGTGCTGTAGCCGCCCATGTCTCGAGTCCGAACCTACAGCCACCAGCAGCAATGCGGCGGGGAAGGAGAGAAGAAAGCCCATGAAGGGGGTAGGGCAGTGTGATGAAGGAAACCCTTGGTGCCAAGGATCCGAGAGGGTGACAGGAGGCCAGAGAGATGCTTCAAGGTTTTAAGCATGAATCTGCCAAGGGCCAGGATGCTCCAATCTCCCCTTGAGGGCTGAGAACTGGAGCTTTGCTGCTACCTGGGCAGGGTGGAAGGCCAGGCATGAAGGGGGGAAGCAAATCAAAAGAGGATGAAGCTACCCTAGGAAATTTAGAGGAAGAGGCAGGAGGAAAAGCTGGGAGGGGAACAGAGATAAGGTGGAGAAGTCTCACCCTACCTGTGCCCTCCCTCCACCTCTCCTCTGTCCCCTAGTCCCACAGAGCCAAGACAAAGCCCATGAAAGGGACAGTGAGTGAAGCAGGAAATGGCAGATAGGAACTGAAAGCAAAGTAGGTCCAGAAGATGAATCGGGAAGGGAGGTGATGAGGTTCCAAGGAAGATTGGAGAACATGTTGGGGAAGCAAGGGGTCCCTGGAGGGAAAGGGCAAAGACTTGACCCAGGGTCCACAGAGGACAGCGCCATGGCCCTGCAGCCAGCAGCCTTCCTAAGCTCACCTTGCCCACTTTGATCACCTTCTTCACAGCATCTGCAATTATGGTGGAGTGATACTCGAGACTGCGAATGTGGACAGGTAGAAAATGAGACCTCCCACTCCTACCAGGACAAGCCTCATGTCCCATCTCTGCTCCCCCCAACAGCACCCCATCTCCTCCCCACCCCCAGCCTACTTGAGATGTCGCAGCATGTTAGAAGCCGACAGAAGCATGGCTGTGGGATTGGCTATATTCCTGCCCACTGCCTGGGCGAATGGGTGCCTGGCGCCCTGTGGGGAGGGACAGGCCAGAGTCACTAGGGGGAAACATTAGGGAGAGACTGGGATGAGAGAGGCGTTACAGAAAAGAGAAACAGGTGAGATGGGAAGGAGATCAGGTATAATCATGAAAGGCAGGCACAGGTGAGGAGGTACTGAGGTTAGAGGGCTGGCGTGCAGGGACTGAGGGCTAAGGGAGGAAGTGGGCTCACTCACCGTCTCAAAGACCGCATACTCTGCACTATAGCTCTCCCCGGGAACCACACCAGCTCCCCCAACCAGGCCAGCCGCTAGATTGTCAATAATGTTTCCATAGAGATTGGGCATCACAAGCACATCAAACTGGTAAGGATTCTGCACCAGCTAGAGGGCAAGAAATGGGTATGGAAGAAAAACCAAAGTGACTCAATGGCTGTCAAGTTGATTCCTTGCTCACAGCCACCCAACTTGTACATCTTTAAGGAAGCAAAGTGTTACAGCTTTCTCCCTCAGAGCAGCTGCTTCAAACTGTTGACCATCTGATTAATAGCCAAGCTCTTAAACAGTGCACCCCCAGAGCCCCTTTCAAGTGTGAAGGAGAGTGAATTCCCTTCACTCCACGAGCACCAGAAGACTCACCTGCATGCAGCAGTTGTCTATGATCATAGTCTCAAATTTTATTTTGGGGTACAGTTCAGCCACTTCCCTACAGCACTGCAGGAATAGCCCATCCCCAAGTTTCCTGTTCATGGGCCAAAGGGAACAAATTCAGTCAAGAGAATGCCAGGAGCAACTTTACTGGGAACCCACCCTCTGCAAAGCCATGTGTCTCACATGATATTGGCCTTGTGCACTGCTGTGACCTTGCCCCGACCCTTCTTGGTGGCATAGTCAAAGGCAAACTTTGCAATCCGCTGAGACTTGGTACGAGTGACGATCTTGAGGCACTCAATCACACCCTTCGCACTCTAGGTGAGAAAAGAGAAGGAGCTGAGTGGGAAGGTGGTAGGGTGGTGAAGAAGCTAGGCCTCTCTTCAAACTCCACCCTGACCCTCCTGCTGTCCAGGGCCTCACCTCATGTTCCAGAGAGCTGTATTCCCCTTCTTTCTGCTCTCGAATGATCACCAGGTCTAGATTGTTGTGTCGGGTCTTATAGCCAGGAAGTGACTTGACATGGACCACATTGGCAAACAAATCCAGCTTACGCCTGTGTACAGGCCAGAGCATTAGCACTGCGCCTAGAACCCCAGACCCCTCCGACCCTCTGCCTTCCACCACCTACCTCAGCCTCATGTCGTAGGAGGCAAGTTCCCCCTTATACTCCATTGGGGTATGGATCTTTCCTGTGTAAGAGTCAAAAGGGGAGTGTCACGCACAGGCCAGGCCAACACAAGGAAACTCAGACCAGCCTTGAACTCCCTCAGGGACAAAATCCACCCACCTATCTCCCCTCCAAGTCACTGACCCTTAAATGCCTATTGGGACAAGGAGAAAAGGGGTGGAGGAATTTAAAATTCAAACCAGTATGGACCAGTTCAGTCATGGATGATGAATAAATATCAGTATACACTTAAAAAATTAAAATTGAAGTTAACCAGCACAGTAACCAGAGGGGAAAATGAAGGATTGAAACTCTGGAAGCCCTTTCAAACATCTGTTGTACTGAAGCTGAATCATTTGCAGCACTGTGTGGAGTATAACACACAAAATGGGATTGGGTGAACGTGTTCTGCACATAGGACAATTTTGAAGAACTGTAGGACAAACTGCTGTGCATGTAATGATGACCCTAAAAATAGTATATCCATGTTCTAACTCCCAGAACCTCTAAATCTACCTTATTCCCAAAACCAAATCTTTGTAGACATAATTAAGGATCTCAATATGAAATCATCCTGGAATGGAGTGAACCCTACATCTAATGCCAAGACTTTATAAAATAAAAAGGGTAAAGACAAGCAAAAGCTATGTAGACAGATGAAGAGACTGGTGCGAGGCATCTAGAAGCCAAGGAGTGCTAAGAGCACCAAAATTTACAAGTAGCAGGAAAGCATTCTCTAGGGAGGACTCTCCTGCCAATACCTTGATTTGAAATTTCTGGCCTCCAGAATGATAAGATACATTGTAGATATTCTGAGACACCTCAAGTTCTGAGAGTTCAAGTGTGACAGCAGCCCCAGAAAATGAATACAGTGAGTGAGACTCTGACAAGTAGCAGTAAAGAGAAAAAAGCCCCATACATTATGTGCCAAAAAGAAATCACATATTCAAAAACTCACGTGTCATCTGGTGTGGTCAAAGCACAAAGTAAGTAGTAAGGAGGCCGAACAAAGCAGCAGAGAGCCAGCTTATAAAGGATCTAGTCTACGGGAAGACTGTGCCTGTGGCCAAGTCAAACTGGGCTTTCCAAGAGAAGGGATGGGGAAAAGGGTCAACAGGAGCAGAAATGCAAGCCAGGAAACGCAGGACAAGAGCAGAGCAGCAGAAAGCCAGAAGAAATGAGGCAGTTACAAGTGGCATTCTAGAAAAACAATTACTTGGATTTCACGACCCACTCCAAACCCTCAAAGTCTTAAATCTGTATGACATGATTCCTCAACTCCGGGAATCTCAAGAGGAAGGAATAAAATGTGCCTGTCAGTGGCAGGGCCTCTGAGAAAGTTACTGGATCCGCTTAGTAGCCATTCATTCATTTGCCTTTCAATGACACAAGGGCCTCACATACCAATGATGGCCACCTTGTTCTCCTTCATGGAGCTGAGCACCTGCTCCAGTTTCTCCTCTGATGCCATATTCTGCACCTCACTGAGGTGGTGCTCCTGGAACTCCACCGGGACAGCAGCTGCCTGCGGAGACAGGTCCTCAAAATTGCTGGGTCAAGGTCGAGTGAACCCTTTCCAACTCACCCGGTTCTCTCCTCCGGCGGGTGCTCAGGGCGGCTCACCTTGAACACCTCCTTGACAGCGTGCATCAGCTCGGGTCCCACGCCGTCTCCCGGCAGCATCGTCACGGGAAAGGCTCCTTCCACCCTCACGTCCTCGGTCTAGGGCGAGGGTCATTGAGTTTGCATTGCAGGAGGTCACAGTGAGGTTCAGGGGGGCAGGGGTGGGGAGTGAGAGAAGAGCGGGGGACACTGGGCAAAGAAGCTGGCAGCGGTGGGGGGAGGAGGTTAGGGATCGCCGCTGGAGTCAGGGTTACCTGGTTCCGCGAGGTGGCGCGCACCGCGGCGGAGGTGCCCAGACCCCTCCATACTCCAGGGTTCGGGGCGGCGACCAGCGCCTGCGACAGAAACACAGACGCCTGTGAGGTCGGGCCCGAGGTCTCCCGCCAGACCCCAAATCCCGCGGTGACCTTGCCCTCTTAGGAAGCCCCGGGCCTCACTCGGGTCAGCCAGCGGACACCGGCCAGCGCCGCCATGATCCGCGCAGAAAGTATGGGGGCAGGCGAAGCCGGAAGTCGGTGCGGCGCAGGCTCGACTTCCGGTCCGTGCGAAACCTGGCGCATCTTTCTCCGCGTTCAGGATTCTAGTTCCTGGCTTTGTGACTTCATTCATCCTCTTCTTACCGTGTCCATTCAGGCTGATCGAGAAGGACGCTTCTTCTCAGGCACCATACTTATGTTGAAACTTTAGAATGACATTGTTATGGGCCGTCGAGTCGCCCGCGACTCACAGCGAGCCTGGCCTGTCCTGGGAGCCGGTCTCACTGACGCAGACATACCTACCCCCATTGCTACAGTTACTGTATTAATCCATCTCATCTGGGGTCCTCCTCGCCTGCGCTGTCCCTCTACTCTTCCAAGCATGATGTCCCTCTCCAAGGACTGGCCTCTTCTGGACATGTGTGGCGGAGCTTCAAAATCCTAGCCTCCCGGGAGAAACTTGGCTTCACTCTCTCCAAGACAGACTGATTTGTTTTCTTGGCAGTCCATGGTATGTTCAAGACTCTTTTCCAGCACCACAACTCGAAGACATCAATTCTTCTTCTGTCATCCTTAGTCATTGTCCAGCTCTCTGATGCATAGCAAGTAATTGCGAAGACCATGGCCTAACTTGAATCTCTAGATTGACATCGTTGCTCGTTAACACTCTGGAGAGGTCCCTGACTGCAGGTTTTCCTAATGCAATTTGTCTTTTGATTTCCTGGGGTGCTGGAGAAGAGTATTGAGAGTACCATGGACTGCTAGGAAAACAAACAGATTTGTCCTGGGAAGGGTTAAACCGAGTGGCTCCTTGGAGACAAGGATTCTGAGGCTACGTCTAACATACTTTGGACATGTTGTGAGGAGAGACCGGTCCTTGGAGAAGGACATCATACTTGGGAAGGTTGAGGGACAGTGCAGGAGAGGAAGGCCTTCTATGAGGTGAATTGATTCAGTGACTGGGATAATCGGGATGGGAGTGTCAGAGACAGTGTGATTGGTACAGGACAGAGCAGAGTTTGCGGCTGTTGTACATAGGGTCACTATGAGTCGCAAACGACTAGAAGGCACATAACAACAACAATACCAAGAGTGTTGATTGGAGATCCAAGCAAGCTGAAGCTGTTAACAATCTCAATCTCTTCACCATCTATCATGCCAATTGGTTCAGTGATGAGAATCTTTTTTTTTTTATGTTGAGCTTCATTCCATATTGAAGGCTGCAATCCTTGACCTTCTGCAGCAAACAGAACCTTAGTGATTGGAACGTGGCATATAAGAAGTATGAATGTAGGAAAATTGGAGATTGCTAAGGAAGAAAATGTTTACATAAATAGTGACATACTAGGTAGACATTAGCGAAATGAAATGGCTAGGCATGGGACATTTTTAATCAGATAATCATATTATTGCACTGGAAATCAAAAGGGGAGAAGAAACGCGTTGCATTCATAGTTAAAAAGACCATTTCTAGATCCATCAATCATGAAATACAATATTGCGAGTGACAGGATAATATCCATATGCATACAAGGAAGACCTGTTGATAGCACTCTCATTCAAATACTAACAACCAGAGCCTAAGAGGAGAAAGATGGCTTCTACTAATTGTTGCAGTTGGAAATCAATCAAACATGCAACCAAGATACATAAGTAATAATGATGACTGGAATATAAAAGTTGGGAACAAGGAAGAAGGACTGGTAGTCTGGAAACACGGACTTGGGAACAGGAATGAGGCTGGAGACAGAATGATCGAATTCTGTACAATCAATGATTTATTATTCATTGCAAATACCTTTATAAGAAACACAAATGGTGACTATACACAGATGGACCTCACCTTATAGCCTACACAGGAATCAGATTGATTACCATGAGAAAAATCATTGGAGAAGCTCAGTATCAGCTGTGAAAACTAGACCAGGTGCTGATTGTGGAAAAGATCATCAGCTACTCATATGCAAGTTCAAACTGTTAGTTAAAGCAAATAAAATCAAATCCACAAGAACTAAAGTTTGACCTTGAGTCTATACCTCCTGAATTGAAGGACCATCTCAGAAAAAGGTTTGAGAGCTTGAATACTAATGAGAGAAGGGCAGATAGGCTGTGGGAGGATATTAAAAATATCATCCATGAAGAAAACAAAAGGATATTACAAAGATGGAAAAAGAAGAAAAGACCAAAACAGATGTGGTAAGAGACTCTGAATTTTGCATTAGACCACCGAGAAGCCAAAGCAAAGGGAAGAAATTAAGATGTTAAAGTGCTGTTGTCAGTCATAGTGTTCTACTCTGTCTAGACGTAACTCAGCCAAACACACTTGATGATGTTCTCACTGAAGCATTTGCCATTTATTAGTCACTGCCTATTGGGGAATCATTTGGTACTTACTCTGTCAAGCTGCCCTTTGACCTGTCCATATTGTTGTGTACCATCAAGCCAAAATCAGTTCATAGATGACCTTCCAGCAAGTTTTCAGAGGCAGTAATCACACAAGAGGAGATTGCCAGTCCTTCTCCCATGAGCAACTTGTGCCTTTCAAATTGCAGGCAGATTTATAACCACTTGGCCACCAGAACACCCTCTATTTCCCAGCAGGAGTGGCATCTACTTCCTAAGCAACATGCATCTGGAAACTCTATGAGCTTTGATAAATGTCAATAGTTATAGAAAGTCTTCAGGCCTTTTGTTCATAGGGTGGCTATGAATTGTGCTCGACTCGAATGCAATTAACAACAAAAACAACTGAAAAGATATCTTGTGATGCTCTTTGTAGGTATGTATTTTCCCTAGCAATGGGCTCAAGCGTGTCTCAGATTGTGGGAATGGCATAGGTTAGGGCAAGGGTTAGATCTGTTTTCATAGAATTGCTGTGAGTCATGGAGAGAACTCTGTTGGCCTAGTGGATAAAAAGCTATGTTACCAAGCCAAAGGTGGGTGATTGTAATCTGCGGCCCTCAGGCCGGGTTTTAATTGTTTGTGATCATTCTTCTAAGTGGTATTAGCACTAATCTGTCCATTTGCTGTACAGAGATAACTCATGGTTGCTGTGATGCTAACACTGTGACACTGATGTGTCAAATGTGATAATGGTTACCCATGGTGGACAGTGTTTGGTGGAGCTCCCTGATTAAAACAGGCTTGAAAGCAGGAGTGGCATCCACTTCTGAACTAGTTTGCCTACAGAAACTCTATTAATTTAGAGAAACAATGAAATTTATACAAGCATTCATTCAGATCTTTCATTCATATGGTCACTATGAGTCATCTACGACTCAATGACACTTAACAACAACATCTATACGCAGAAAAGATATCCTTAGAGTATTTCCCAACCAGAAGAAAATGTGAAGGCCTCCCTTCTAATGTGGCTAAGAAGGGACAAAAATCAACTGCAGAAAATACAAGAGCATTTTGGTGGTAAAGTACCTGGCATTTGACAGACAACTGCAACATGAGTAACTGCATAGCCCTCAAATAGTCCAGACATTCTATAAACTAGTGGGGGGGGGGCAAAGCCACAAAAAAACCCATTATTGTAGAATGAGAATGAGAATCCAAAGGGGAGGGAGGGGTGGAAGCAGAGGGGTGATGATGAGGGGAGTTGATAATCATAGGGTCATACAGTTTGATGGGTCTAGGGTGGTGGTGAAGGAAATGGGAAAGTTCCTGTGTGCAAAACAATGTATTCGAACTTTGTAAATAAACCAAAAAGATGTAAAATAATAATAAAAATTCCAGACATTCTACTGTTTCTCACAAATTGTGTTTTGAAATATATACATTGCACAATTTCTTCACTAAAGCTATAGATTTAATTTTCAAAAAAAAGGATATGAGATTGTGTGTTTATCAAAAAAGATCCAGAGTTTAGTAAGGAGCTGAGTTACAATATTAGGGGATCTGTGCCATTTCTTCATGTTTTTGTTGCTATTTATTTATCATTCTCTTAACAGATATTGAACCCTAAACTATATGTAAGGTGCGAGAGGCGTTAATGGACACAGCACAGCTCATTAGAGAAGACGAATGAACTCCTAGTGGAACTCCTAGTTTACCAGTTGTTGCTGTTCCTCATATTCTTCTAATATGTATTTGTTAAGTTTTTAAAGCTTTCTTTTTCACTGAAACATAACACACACAAAGAAAATGGTACATGTTACACATATATTGTATAACATGGAATTTTTAGAAATTAAACAGGCTTTGTAATTAGCAAGCAGATCCCGGAGGGCTTCTTCAACCTTTCCATGTTTTCTTCCAGCCACTATGCCCCAGTGGTTGGTCATCACTAGCCTGTTTTCTACAAAAAAAATTGTTTTCCCTGATTTGAACTTTATATCAGTAGGATCATATTACTGATCTAGGGAATTAAAAGGGTGGGAATAAAACTCAAAAGAACCTGATTACATGATCCCGGGAATTAGGAAGGTAAAGAAAAAAGTCCAAGGAGCCTGTTTACACCCACACATTCTTGCATTCTGGTTAACATTACACATGCTCACTGACACACGTCTAAGCATTTATTGAGACAAAATTAGGAGAAACATCAACAGCTTGATGTTTAAAGGGTGTTGTCTTATTTTGAACCAAAGTGTCTCCAGAAGACAAGATTGCATGGAACTAGGTTACACTCATGTGCAGCAAAAAGTTACCTTACCTCGCAGTGACCCAACATGGAAGTTCCAAGAAAATAGAATTTAGACCAGAGGCTAATGTAAAGTGACTGTACGCAGGCATCAACATCCGTAATGAGTCTTTCTCCCACTTCCTAGACTCCTTTGCACATAAGTCTTCCCCCCTCCCCCAGCATCTAAGCTTTTATTGAGGTTTTTAAAAACAAGTGTCCATGCCAGTGAGGATAGTGGTGGGGGAAAGGTAGGGTGGTTATTGTTATTATGTGCTGTCAAATCCCTTACGACTCATAGCAACCCTAAGTATGTACAAGAGCCCTGCAACCTGCTCTATCCTGTGTCAAATTTACTGTCCCTGACACACCTACCC